AACTCAGATAGCTCGATTTCACTGACTAGGTACATCTTCATACACCTGTCACTGTCGCAGCTTGCAGTTAAGATGACTAACTTGCCTCTTCGAGACTGATGAGTGTCACTGTAAAGGCCTCGAAAAACTGCTGTTCTCACCTCCAAAAAGAGATAGCGATCTTTGAAAAAGAATGAATGAATATAACGCAACTTGTTTCTAAAAGTAGTCCGTACCAAACGATAAACCTTATGATAAACATGTACAAGCATACAGATATAACTATTAGAAGGAAGGTACGTTTAGCGTTATCAATAATTTTAAATTAAATATAACTTACCCTCTCTGTTTTCGAACACGCAGTGTTCCTTCTCGATGTGTTGTCCGCAGAGCTGAATATCCTGACGAGTGGGTGCATCGGCTCTTCCGACCCTGGAAAACATGAATAAGCATTGCAACACTGAACCTGAATAAGAATTGAGTACTTTGTCATTCCCTCTTTCAGGTAGTACAACAGACATTCAGACATGAGTGGATCCTCGTTCAGATTTACCAAATGAGGGAGCTAAAATGGAAACAAAACAGTAATTGGCAGAGATTTGCCGTCAGCCGTAGCACATCTACCGTCACCTTCTTAGGAGAAAAGACTCCCAAGGCATGTCCGTCTTCTAACGTTGCGAGACCAATCTCTTTCAGTTCTGCTTCTCTACACTCACAATAAGTTTATATTTGTGGCATCATACATACGGTTTGTGTCTACCTAGCGGCCCGTATTGCCTCGGTCTTCCTCAGTTTCTCCTCCCACGTTTCGTTCAGTTCCGCAATCAGCTTTTCAGAAGTCTTCAATCGATCGATAGTATCCTCCTCCGCAACACTGTAAACGCTGCTTTGTGTTGTGATCATCTGCCTTTCAGCGGAAGCTGAAATTTGAGATGACAGTTTGGACCGAACCGTAACCTCAATCCTTTATCCTATTCCTCATACTTAAGTCCATATCTGGATTGATTCCTTGTTTGGCCAATAAAACTTTTAGACGAGTAACCTCGGACTTCAAGTCGTTGATCAGGCGTGCATTCGGATCTTCGTTGACGACGGCACGACACAGGATCTGTTTTGCACGATCTGCATATCTATAAGGTTCGCTTTCAAATATAATTCAAAACATGAGTGCATTAAAGATATATACTGCAGAAAAGCTGAAAAACCGTTCGAAAATTATACTCAGTATCTTCAGAGTCACGCAGAGCCAGTAGCAAAAATTAAAACCGAGGCAACAGTATTCAGAAATGCCCTAGTTTCTTATATCTCTTGAAGGCGCTGTCTAGGACGAGGACACCAGCTAGAAAGCAGAACGGAAGAATTCAAGTCAATTTCCATATTAGGCGCTAAAGAAAGCAGAATAATTTACACCGTGTCTTCAAGTTTTCGGTTCTTGGCGACACTGATGAAAGAACCACACGATGCCTCATGGATGATGTCTGGAAACGGCAAGGACTTTCTCGTGTCATTTGGACCACCAATATCCGGAAATTTAGCATTTGTCAAGGCAGAGGAAACTAACTGATTTTTTCACCATATTATTACGAAGAACTTCTGGGAAACTTTCAACACTAAAAGAAAATCAGTTAAAAAATATGAAAATTTCAGGAGTATGAGGAAACTATGAAAGAAATGACTTTTGGCAGAATCGTGATGTAAAGTAGAAGAAGATGCGAGGTCATATTCTCTAAATGTTGGAATCTCTCCGTACTATTGAAAACACTAACCTACATACCTACCTATCACGTTAGTCAGTGGTCCATAGTTTTGAAAACGTACATATCATGCAATAGTCGGTGTAGACTAACCATGTCACGAACAGTAGTCTGACTGCTCTTCACGCTCAGTGAGCAATGATTTATGGCGTCTCTCATCTTTACATAGGATAATAACTGACTGATTGACTGTTCGCTGATTGTGAACTCTTCGTCGTCAAAAATGGCTCAGCAGCTGTAGAGAGGCTACTACTGGCACAATTTCGGCGGTTGATACTGACTTCACTCGTCGTGCATCATAGATAGCCGCTTTATGTTCTCATCAATCTGTCATTAGGGGTGGGAAATAACAACTGCGGTTCGAACACGTATTGCGAATGCTTTCAGAAAGGAAGGCGAAGCAGCTACTATTTTCCCAACCGACCGACTGAAGATCCTAGAAACGGTCAAGAATAACTTAAGGTAAGTGTTTTGACGGACTCCACTCCAAGATCATATCATATTCTTCCGAAACTCAAAAGGTGGCATAAGATTGAGGACGTTGAAGACACTGTCTGAAGCTGCTAATTTCGCAACCTAAAGGGATCAGCGATCAACGCGAAAATGGCTGACTGATTGACTTACTGGTTCAAGACCTCATGAGTGCCTGCTAGTCAAAAACGCAAGAGCACAACTGAAAACTATACGTCGAAGAAAAATGAATGACAGCATTTCGATTTGCATAACCATGACCGTCTATCCTACAACATGTGAGATATACAACCTTCGATAGATGAGGCATGGGCAATTATGATTTTTTTATTAGGCAGCCACGGGACACCTCGCACGCCGTTCCCTAAGAACCTGTATTCAAGCACCGGCATATTCTGCTTTTCCGTGTATACGAAAGCTGGCAAACACCAGCAATGCGTTCCACTCCGAATAACGCCAACCTGTGGTTTTAAGCACGAGACAGGTTTGTAACAGAGAAAAAAAATGAATGAAAATCTATTTGTTAAAAAACACAGATCTCCATCATGACAGATTAGGATATAAAATTTTAGGGCCGATTTTAGCTCTGATATAAAAGTAAAAGGTATCATTCCATTTACGTACTGGTAAGCATTAGCAGTATTAAAATATCGTTACTCAACATTGAGCTGCCTCTGTGGGCAAAGAAAGAACTATCCGCGATTCAGCCATCTCTACTGTCATAACCTATGGCACTGAATGCTTCTACTACTGAATGCACTCCTGTCTGATGGCACCGCACCATCAACTTTATGAAAAGAATAAAACCAAAGTAGCTGAATCATGAAAATGAAGGAGGACCGATATTCCAACGGTGATTAACGTTCTTTTCCGTTCCTATAACTGAACTGCGGGCAGCAAGGTTACTCAAAAGAGCGATTAATCGACAAATGTGCAATTTTTCTCACCAGAATCGCGTTCCATGCGATTCGATCCAAGAATTCGGTAACTGAATGGATTAACAAACGTGACTTCGGCTCCAATGTGCAAGTTCAATAGAAGATGGGCGGAAAGGATCGTGTGGTTCTCCTGAAAGAAAAACTGGCGGACGTCAGGAAATAGAAACCGGATTCCACTGGACCACCAATGTCGAGTCCGTTGAGACCATCTGATGATAAAATTATCAGACCCATCTGGTGATAAAATTATCAGACCAGCAATAAAGGCAAAAAGCAGGTAATAGAAAATACTGTGGGAGCGTCGAGCTGTTTTCATGGCGCATCAGTGAGGAAGGCAAGTCGGATAACGCATGAGTGGTTTTAAGAAGCAAGAAACAATAAATAGACAAATTAGACAAAACATCAAAAAGGAAATTGAAAATTTTGCCTCAAAGTGCTCAGCGTTTCTTCGTAGTTGATGTCCGCAGGGCTTATAGCAGCAATCATAGCCGTTTTCGAGTTTCCTCCTTAGCAGACGTTAAATCAACCGTTTTATCATTTATTTTGCCTTCACCAAATTACCTAAGTTTTCTTTTAGCAGCCACGTAAGTACCGAATCTCTGTACGGAATAAAATCACCCTTTCGTCGCTTTTTAACGCCAGCGGTGGCGGACTGAAACAGAAATTAAGCCAATTAGAAATTTTATCAAAAACAGATCAACGACGAAAACGAAATTAACGAAACAAAGCGATCAGAAAATTTTACTTTAAAAACAACATGCAACGGACATAGCGAATTCGACTGGAGGAGACTGCATCCAGTTTCTCAGTCAACTCTTCTGTTTCTGAAGATCTGAGAAGAAATGGAACTACTTAGAAACATGTCGACATTGTCGAAATCCCAATGCAAATTCTTTAATAGATTAAAACGAACGCAATTTCTTTTGAATTAAGTAATAATTTGTTTTTGTCAGTAAATTTATTTTCCATAATAAAAATAATAAGCCCCTCATCTTCGACACCTCGAACTACCACATGGGCATGAGCCCAAATGGCAGCACACGTGTGTCTTACTGGATGCGGAATCGACAACGTCGTTATGTAATCCTTGTTACCTACTCCACCGATGGATTACGAAGCCATATCGGCGGAATGTCATGAACTTTAGACGATGGAACGTTATTTTTGAAAGCCCACTTCACAAGTTCATTGCACATCAACCGATATTCAAGACAACACTCTGTATGATAGGGTTTTGCTTATAAATTTTGGCATTTCCATCTATCCTTGCCAGTCACCTTTAGCCGATCAACAAAAGAAGTTAGTAAATGAATCTTTACGATTACATGCAGCTGATGCGGACAATGAACTAAAGATGGAGGACATTCAAATATAAGTAAAAGTCAATGTTCACGGCTTGGTGACTTAGTCGGTTAAAAACCGAAGTGCAAACTGAAAAATCGAGAGTTGGAAGTGAAGCCGGGGAAACTCACTTACAGTCTTTTGAGGTACAGATGCATACAAGTTCCGCGATGAGTGGGACAGAGTCTTCATCACATGTCGTGGCTCCCATTCACACTTATAGACGCGGGGTAAAGCAAGGACACAGTCTTATAGATACAAGCTTTAGCAGCATGACTGGTTCTACCAGAGCCGATCGACTTAACTGTGAATCGTCTTAATAACCAGCCGTTTGAGTGAAATGAACCCGAAGCACTGGATGCCTCTCGTGGACACAAAATGGATGCTGCGCTAACGCCGCTTTAATTGGTCCGTTCTGTGGGGTCAAGCACTTCCAATCGTTTCTTTAACGAGTCCTACATCCAGTCGTTTTCGTGGGCACCTACTTGCGTTCTTTTGCACTGAGGTTCCCTTCCGCATTCGCGTGGTTCCAGCAGGTCGTGACTTGCAGATAAAATATAACACTCTTGATTGATGCCACAGAACCAAACCTGTAAACTACTTCTAAGTTTTATGAACGAAAGGAAAAGGAAAGTTTGTCGCCGTTCAATTACCGCTTCACATTCATGAGTGGGCCATTTCGGCGCCGTTCTTTTCATGAAGATGACGGTAGGGTGCTGATGTTCGTTTCTATGCCAACAATCAGGAGTGCAGAGTCCACGGCAGGGACGTGGCAAACGTCGTGTGTAGTCTCCTCTTTCTTTCCCAGCGGGTGGTACTCACTTATGAACCTTGGAAGAAACAATGACGGCGCCAGAGACCCAAAGTGAGGCCTGAACTCGGGGCCTATCGGTTCTTATGAACGAACGATGCCACAATGTAAGGGAGTCTGATATTACAACGATTACAAAAAAATGGGAAATTAACATCAAATTCAACCGGCATATTCATAACTAGTTTAACTAAGTCTTAGAGGTTCATTTAAACCACTCATTGCATCTAACCAAACTTTCTTACAAAATTTACGACCATAACCCAGGTTTCACTTATCACAACCTATGAGTATTCAAATTCATTGCACATACGACATTTCGTCACCAAAATATGTAAGAACGCCTTTATCAAAAGGCCAGACCTTGACGATCATTGTTGATTACAGACGCATTCATCTCTTTAAAGCAGGGCCCCAGAGAAAGGGCGTGTTGCGCAATACCAGGGTGGGCAGCCTGACCCAAGCGGACTGAAAATAAGTGCCCAATAATCCGGATATTCAATTTCCGGTAGGTCTTTCAACTATATCTGATCGCATGTTCAGGTCGCTTGCTACATCTTTCTTGAATAAACGCATTCCGATTCCCAAATTCACACCGATCTTGTGACCTCGTGTCGTCCAGGTAGCTTCTGATTAGCTAACATATCCGGGGTATACATGGCAAAATTACCATGTGTGCTCTGATACGGCTTCATGTTGTAGTTGGGGTGCAAGAGTTCTTATCTATTGTCGTACTTGATCAAAGGCATTCGTTTTTTACTTCATTTTCATAGGCTTCAACTGCACTACAGTTACTTTCATTCATCAGTTGTTCACTGATGAACGGACGCTAAGGAAGACGTGAAATTTCGATAGCCAGCACATAAAAGTTCGGCACTAAACTATACACCATGATGCTAGTCCTGCCTGGAAGAGAAATAAAAATTCTCACCTGTCAATGAATTCGTGCAGTTATAAAAAACGAGTAACTGTTCATCAAGCTTACGCGTAATAATTAATAACAATTACCATTTCGGCTAGAGCAGATATCACTTTTCCAAGTGTGGTCAATGATTTGTTAATGTTAGCACCTTCCTTCAACCGAACGCCTTCGGCACCTGTAGAATCTGCTCGTTCGCTTCCGGCAAGGTCGACCAAACAAATTCGGCTCACCTAACGAAGAAAAGCCTTTAGACAAATAAACACACTTTAAGAAAAGCGGCTTTTGAACGTCTTTTTAAAAAAATTAATTTTTTTGGAACTGTGCCACCGAAGTTAATTTTTTTGTTTTGTTTCATGGTGATTCAACTGCTGGAGTAAATATTCAAAAACGTTCATGCTGAATGAAGACTGCCAGTGAATTTTTAGATTTGAAGCGAAAGTTTGGAAAAAGTTTCATTACTTTTTCTGTATCCAACTTTGTGCTAACATCGTGCCTCTTTTGCGTAAAAACTAACGTAAAAACTGCATGAGACCGGCTACTTGTCTCGTTCATATTTGTGGCAGCCACCGTTCTAGAAGGGGCTTAAAGATTAGCAGGTTCTTTTGATATCATTTACACTTTACTGTACCTCGATTTGTTGCCCTCATCAATCAGGTGGGAAACGTCTTCGTAACTCGTAACGGCCAGCTTCGTCAAATCCTCGACGTAAGGACCCAACAGGGGATGTTCTCGCACCCGTAAATTGGCTGTGTTCTTTGGGTTGAGTAGGTCGCGAACTCTTTCGCAATAAATCTCCATATACGAAACCTAAACAACGTCCAGTCGTTTGCTTCTCGTTGAGAACTACGTTAAGCAATTCAGGATTTACGAACTTACTTCAACGGAAAACTGCAGGTTTGGGTCCAGTGAATTTTTGATCCGACTGAACAATTCCGAGCACATCTGCGGTATAATACCTTGATCGGTACTGTTCGACTTTCCCATCATGGTAAACGACTTTCCAGCGCCCGTCTGGCCATAGGCAAATATGCATACATTGTACCTGGAAAAATTATTCAGAGCTTTGAAAGAATTGTATGTCAGCCTGAGCAGTTTGTACATCAGCCTGATTTTGCTGCTAGCAGAATAAATCACACCTTTCTTCTGCTGACCGTGCATCAAACGTCAGATCTGTGTTTAATAACGTCCTTGTTTTATACTTTCAGGATTGCTGCCTTTGAAATCAAAAAACCCGTGCCTTTCCACTCATCTGTGCATTTGTATGAATCTAAAAGTTGTTTATAAAGAAATACTTTAGGTAAAAGTTATGAACGTGCACTTTGCCACTGGCGGAAGAACGATTCAATCGAAGAATCATTTTGTATTTTTTGAAAACTCTTAAAGATGACAGCATTAATCCACAAGTGGACATGCCTTTTGAACCGATATCAGCAAAATACAGGATACGACATGACGTATGGAAAGATAGGATGGCATAATTTTGTCGTTGAAGGTAATCGTTTAGAAAGCTCCCATATTGCCAGTATCTTATAAAGCGTGAAGGTGTTCACGATCAAGAAACCAATAGAATTGCATCGGCACTTTTAATGGTGCTTCGTACAATGTGCGGTGAAATCTACTGCTCAGCAGTGAGCAGGTTCCGATGATCAACGGAATATGAAACTATCAGAAACGAAACGGGATAGACGACTCATTTTATGGTACCTACTGTCAGTTTGAGTCCAATTATGAGTTATGCTTTGATTCAGTTTACGTTGGGAGAGATTGATTCGAAGAACTAGATATTTATCACGGGATATTTTCAAGGGGATTAGAATATCAATTTTCTCATAAAACTGACAAATATCAGTTTATTGTAATAGATTTTTCTATATAATCATTATTTAGTTTAATTCGAATTCAACGAGTGCGCAACAGTTGTTAAATCTGCACCAAGGCCAGCAGTAGTCCGGAATCTGAAGGTGCCCAGCCACTTCTATAAAAAATTAAGCCTGCTGCACTTGCCTTCCCGTCTCTTTTCAGACGACCTAAGTTTTGATATCGAGGTCTTTGTTTTTCTGTATACGTTCTGATTGCTTTTGGTATCAGAAGGGAAAACTTTAAAATTGTGGAAATTCCTTCTCAGTGAATTACGCATGACCTGAAACGTCGGTAGTTTAGGTAATAAAATTTACAGTCGAAACAATCTCATGACGAACATGAAGTCAGAAGTCTAATCTCCTGTATGAATGAACATTGTTAAATTTTTAAGTCTTTGAACCTACTGCAGAAATATTCAACATGACCT